TCTCAATAGAGGGTGAGCTTCCGCCGGCACGCAGGAGGCCCATCCTTGGGGACACAAGTTCGATACCGCCTTTCTTGGATCGTTTTTCGAGACAGCTACATCTGCAACACCGTCCTTTAATTCTGTTACAAAGATGAAGAACGGGCGATCGGGAGATGTTCCTGGCGCAGCCTTGTCCAAAACGGACAGCCTAGTTGGATTTGAGATGTCTTGGCTTTCATCATCCGAGCTGAACTGGAAGGATATTATTCTCGATCGGTTTATCCCCTCTAATCGCGATAGAACGTGCTTGAACGAATCCACCGTGGCTGGAAGGATGCGGTCCGCCGTTACGCGACCAATCGATGGGTTCACGTCATCGAATGCCTGGCGAGAGACCAGAGCCAAATGATTCTCGACAATGCGATAAAAGACTTGCAGGGCGATTCAGATGTCGTGACACATGGGTATTTGGTCGTAGTTGGAAGGAGGTCGGTCGATCAGCCCATTACATGTATACGCAGTCAAGAAGGTGACTAAATGCTAGGGACCTTGCTAACGTACAATACGTAGGTTCTCCTGGCATCGTATGGCTGGATAGTTGATATGAACTATGTTGTGACGAGGCTCGGTGTGTAGTTCTCAAGTAGCAAGGAGAACACGACAAGCTACTGACTAGATTGGGACTGATGGTGGCGCAAGCAGGCCTTTGGCGGAGTTGGGCCGGTTTACTTATGATATAAAGTTCGCGAGTCGAAGGCAGCCGTCGCCAATCAGGTGCGGTAATGTCTGTTTATTCAAGCGGTGTGGGTCAACGTGAGAACTGCGCCTGAACTTGGATCAAGGTTGGCGTCGAGGCCCCAGATGGACGGAATGAATGCGGATATTCTTTGGCTCAGATAACACTAGTGGAATCCTCCTGGGCCCACCTTAAACACAATGCCCGATTTCCGTAAAATACTATGCATGGCAGGGGATATGCTGGTAAAGCAATAAATCAAAAAAGCTGACCTTCACCTCCCTACATCAAGCGGTTCCATGGTCTAATGGTTATGACGCGACTTTCACAGACTGGAATCAGTCGAGGTTCTGAGTTCGATCCTCAGTGGAATCACTCTTTTTGCTTTCCAACTACCTGAGCCTTCTTCCTGTACTCTCCGTTACCTTTTGACACCGCTGAAAACGCGACTTTCCTTGGTTGTGGAGAATCTCGTGTAAGGAAGCTTTTTGAATTGAATGGGCGAATCTGGGGATGACACACGTGAGATTGTTTTGGTAACGACTTCCGCACGTTGACGCCAAACATCACGCGCTCACCTGGGTCTGACAGCCACCACCTTGGCCCTTGCTCTCAGCCACCTGTTTGGAATCGATCGTGCATGAAGAGTTAAGCACCATGACCTCCCTCGACCCAGAACATCAAAACTCCGGGCATGATTACTCTAAAGAATTCATGGGCAAGTTCCCTGTCTATCCTCTCATTCGCACTATCCGCAAAGATGTGGAGATGAACTTTGGTAAGAATTCAACATCGCTTGAGGTTTAGCAATGACTTACACCGCTAGTGCTGTAAAGATACCGCGTTAACTTGGTCGTAAGCTCTTCTCTCTAGTATTTTTTTCTCGATGATGTGCTGATGTCGATGTCGGTCACGCAGGCAACTGGTTCGTCCGTCCCCGCTTTCAACGCGTGGTAGCCTCCTAACCATATTATGACGACTCCCTAGTCCTCCCCTGAAGTCAACTTCACTGTCATCCGGTAAGGAGTCGCCTTCCCGATCGCTGTCACTCTCATCCTCACCTTCGATGTGCAGGCCATTGTTGTTCAAGTATGCAGCTTTGCAGAACCCCGCAATCAGTAAAGAGTCTATTCTCGTCTTCAAGGCAGTCCCTCTGATAATTTCCTTGGCGACGCAGTCTATGTGCTACTCATTGTTCGCTCCCACTTCCAATCCCTTGCCGATGATGATCTTGCCTACGCACCAATCATTGCGACTCGCGCTGATGCCTGCGAGCTAATTGCTATCAAGCTTCTTCGGGAGTTTACCAACTCGCAGCTCGAATTGGCAGCAGTCCTGACAACAGCGTGGAATCCCTTGCAAGGTGCTCCCGCGGATGTCGTTGAAATTGTCAAAGTGGATCTTGGTCGGGAACAGGATGATTTGGACGATCCTATGAACGCACTCGAGGTGACTGCTGCTGTCTTCCTCGCTCCTGGGAACGCGCTCATACGTCTCGTCATTCTAGGTTGCAATCTCAACCGAGTCGAAGAAGTTTTGCTCGTCACCTTTGGTTCAAACCATGATGAACAACATTTGGCAGGGTCATATCGTCTTCAGCAGCACCTCGTCGCACGCTTTAGTTCAGGATGATTACAAGACGCGAGAGATTGAGTTCTACGATCACAGGAAAGCTCCTTTCCTGGACCACTATAGGCTCCGTGTTCCACGCTACAGGAGCATCGTCGACTCTGTGAATTTTCTCATTCTGTTTATTATCTTCACGATATGCCTCTCAAGTGAGTGATTTTTCTGGGTGGTTCCTTGACGTCTTGTCCTGACTATCATTATCTGTAGCAAAACAATTTGACCAAATGATCTGGACTGAGGTTATCTTCATTGGTTCGTTCTCATTCTCGACTGTCTGCTTCCTACATGCTCGCGGGCTCATTACTCCGGACTAATTAGTGTTCATGTTTGGATTTATGTTGGACGAGTTTGCTGCAACTCAGGTACGTTCCTTGTGACCTTTCTCAGGTTCCCTCGTTCGCATCTGACATTGTGTTCCAGGAACATGGGTGGTCTTGTATGAGTATTGCATTGACTCAGCCTGAAGCATAAGCTGACACTTGCTCACTTGCTTGCAGTCTATATTGCGAATGTAAGCCCTTGGGTTTACTCTCTATGGGTTTCTGATATTTACGCTGTTGCCCCTCTAGATGTGGAATGGCTTTGATCTGTACGGCTCTTATGTTCATAATACTTCTTATCTGACCGTCTTCATCTCCGCTTCCGCAGAGCCTTTAGTAAGTTCAATCACTATTGGTCCGAGCTTTGTCTGACTATTTCACCTCCAGTTGTCATCTTTTTGCTTTATCTGGGTCTTCGCATCCATGGCCTAAGCTCCCATGATGTGAGCACTCAATACAGACAATCTCCTCGTTTTCTACTCAAATCTTACTGACCCAACACGTAGATCGGGTATTCGGATCTCGCATTCGACATTCTCTCCTGCGGTGCTTGTGTCTTATTGCCAAGACTGGCTTTCCTCCCCGTTTCGAATACCGTCGTTATCCTGTGAGCCCCAATATTGATATCACCGATGAAATTTGCTCACCCGCGCCTTCCGCTGCCTAGTGCTCTCCGAGGAATGATCATGGACTTCATATACTTCATTACTCTGGCTGCCATCTGCTTCTCCGGGTTATTGTTCACCTTGCACAGCTTGGGTAGGTTTCCTTGGGTTGAGGCCAGAATCAATGGCCATCTTTACTCATGGCATTTGTAGCTGGGGAGAAGTGGCCCGTGAAGGACATTGCATGGCTGGTGCGTAGGAAATACTAAACGGCAAAGCTCATCGCATGTGCTGACATTATTCTCGTGCCTTGCAGATGGTTCAAATCTGGTTCGGTGCGTTCCGTGAGCTCTGACACCGACGCCCGATTGATATTGACTTTATCTGGGTGAACGATACCCGGGTTCTCGTTCCGTTGTACCTTCACAGGCAACACTTATCTCAGCTTCGTTCAAGCTACGAGTTTCCACCCCATATTCGTGAGCAGCATCTTGTCCACATGATAATTTCGTGGGAGCTTATTGACGTGAGTCTGCTTCTTGCGGGCCCTAGGGACCCATTTTGATGGTATGTGATTCAACGCATATATGGTCACGGGAAGACGGTTCCATGAGTGGCATAACGCGTCATTCTGATCGAAAATCATTCCAACTAACTCCTTATCCCCGTACCCCGCTTCTACTCTTGTCCAGACGTGCTTTGCCGCCTTGAGCAATACGTTATTGATCACGAGTGCGTTTATTCAGGCACTTCAGTAACCGTCCCGAGCTTACCCCATCTTCAGTGCTCATGTCGATCCTCTCGGCAACTTTCGCTCGGATTAACGAGGTCAGTTCCCCAGCCTGCTCAAATTGCTGTGGAGTTGAGCAAATGACGAATACAATACGACCCTTTTTGGCTCTCTCTCTCTCGATACACCCCTTGGTCACTCACGCTTCCTTCGAATCTCTCATCGATCGATGCCTGCCGCGCCTGCGGGATGCTTATCAACCATACCTTCGCCTCATAACCGCTTCTTCTTGGTCATCTCTCAACCTCGTGCCTCCACCTGATTTTCCTATTCCATCGATCTTGCCGCCATTTTGGTGACGCTCCACCGCGCATGATCCACCCGCGCAGAACGCTACCGAGGAGGTAAGTTGAGACATCCTATTTTGGCGATCTCCATATCTCTCGCTCTTCCTCGGGTCGTTCCACCGACCCGCCAGCAGAACGTGGGGGCCAGATCCAACCCCTTCACACGAGTGGCGGGAGGAGCTACTTGTAGGGGCGAGCCGGTTCACTGACCTGAATCTAATTCGACTTTTCCGATAGTTCCTGTTCCAATTCACTATTTCCACTCTGGAAGGGTAAGCATGCGCTCAAAAAGCTTTAGGGTTTATCCTTTGGTTGATCTTGGTGGCTCGTTCATAGTGTCAAGTCAGATGCTGTTCTCGCATACCAGCCGCCGTTCAATCTTGCTGGTAAGCCTTTCATTGTTCTAGCCAAATGAGGCACTTATCACCCTTGTGAAATCGCGGGATTTCTCCGTTTATGTGGCTCTAGCCTATGCCATCCTTACGGTCTTGAGCTTTGTCCTATCCCCGCGGACGCTGCACACCGTTAATGTCTTCATGCTCAGGGTTACGGTTCGTTTCCTTTCTCATATGAGCATTTGAGCCTCCGAAACTCATCGTGCGTTTTAGTCTTTCCCTGTCCTTGTCGCTATCGGAATCTATGAGCGTTACATGGCCCCAGGGCACCCGACGAGCCAAAGTAGGGGTATGGAACTCATCACTAGTGGGACAGGTGCCGCAATGTCCCTTTGGAAGAACGTTTCGAGAATGAGTATCATCGAGTGCGTGCCTCGGTTCTTCTAATCTTAGATTTCGCTCGTTGACAAGTCATTCCTTATGTGAACCTTGTGCCTCGCTCAATGGATGGACACATTCCTGTTTCTCCTGTCTGTTACGTCACTGGCAATGGGCCGTCTCGACCTAACTTTGGCGGTGCACATCTTTTATCATCTCTCGTTATACATGAATGGTTCGAACCGTTCCATCTAACCACTTCATTGGATCTTCGGCGGTGTACTCCACACTTCTTCGTCCCTCGTGATAACTCCACATTCTTCCAACCCCACCGAACCTCCTTGGCCATGCTCCATGCCGTCACACTCGGCTTGGTCCCTCCTATTTGTCACCTTTGCCGCCGGATGGCTCCCTCAAACCAATGAATTCATTGGGTGCCTCTGCTCCAACGCTCCACGCGCGCGTTCGGCACCCGTAACTGACGCCTTCCATTATCCCCTGACCCCCACTTTGCTCCTGTTTCATTTTCCGGAACTTCCGCTACTCCAGTGCGTTTACCGGGTCGAATTCGAAGGAACTCCTGGGTGCTGTGCTGCGTGTGGAGGTGGATCTAGATGATCACGCTATCGCGCTGCATGATCAGGATGTCGAAGACGGTGAGATCCTTGCGCTGCCTGGCAAAGGCGATGACAAAGGTGGAGACGATCCATTTACTGATGGAGCAGCAAATGGAGAACACGGCGAGCAGGACGCGATGGCCGAGGAAGGAGGGCAAGAAGAAGAGGGAGATGAACGAGAAGCGGGTGAAACTACCGACCTCCTCCCGCAGCACTCCTCGGGAAGCGTCAGGAGCCGTGGACGTCGCCTGCGGAGGCCCACGGTCGATACGCAGTTGGCATCTACTGCCGCTGGTGCTGCTCCTGGGTTGACGGTTGCACCTGCTACTTCCGTCGAAGAAGCAGAAGCTGACGAAGTGTTGACAGCTCTTCCAAGTGGTGCTCCTGTACTCCCTGTTGGTGCCCCGCTCGCGA